AGGAAAACTGTCCTGAGGTCTGAAGTCATCCTTCAACTGTAATGACTTAACACAAACACTAACACAAAGGCTCAAACTTCTCTACAAGTCTAAAGGGTTTCTACAACTTGAGGCCTTCCTTTTGAGCGTCATAGTATTTGTGTTTTTTTATCTGTATGTTAGTTTACATCCTGCAGAATCCGTCTCACATCTGTAGCTCATTTCCAGCTGCTGATTTTCTGTCTGATGGGGGGGGGGGCATAGCATCGGACCATCACAGCATCCAGCTCTCTGTTTATCTCTGATTCTCAAACAAAAGCCTCCCAGTTCCTGCCCGCTTAACGCCTCAAATCCCACGATCTCCTCTCCCAATCTGCTCCTCCGTTCTCTGCACGTTTACTGCCAAGACGTGATCCTCCGTCGGTTTACGGTGTAACGAGGAAGATCTCTTTTCTCATGAGGCTGAAAGAGCTGTGTTTCCTGACAGATGACAGTGACTCCACAGACTCATTAGAACAAGCGAGCAGAGACGCAGGAGGACGAGCAGAGACTCGGGAGCCCTCTGGGCCTGAACACAAACTGACTAGGAAACATGTTACTGCTGGCTCACTACATCTCCAACTCTGACAAATGATTTCTTTAACCACAGCACACCCTAGTGGTGAACAAGTGCAACTGTACATATGTACTAAATCCAATTTCTTTACTTCAACCATGGATGTTTTGCACAAATCCAGCTTAAAAAAAAGGATCTTTTGATCTTTCAAAATGTGCTCGATTTGATCAAATACCTCAGAATGTGTATGCTAAAATTCTGACAGTGAAGAAGAGAACATCATAGTCAAAAAATGAATGAATCATCCAAGGGTTTCACATAGGTCTGAACCTTAAAGCTTGGAAACTTGTTCCTTCTGAAGCTGATAATTATTACCAACTAAACCACAGCCGCTTCTTGCAGCTCTACTTTATGTTCATTAGGCATTAAAGCAACTATATGTAACTTTTCTAAAGTCAACCTAATGTTACGATAACTTTCAACATGGAGAATGGCGTCTCTCATGTCCACAGAGCGCCTGGCAGCATGTTTTCAGCACTATGTAACTTGAAGTGGGTACAGCTTTACGGCACTAGTTCACACAGCATAAAAAGCAGGATAGAGAGCTGTCTTTGTACTGTTTGATACAATGGCTGAGACTAAGAGGAAGAGGATGGAGACGGATGAAACTAAGAAGAGAAAATCATCGATATCTGTGTCATCGTTGCCAGCTTTACCGGCTGCAGAAAGTAATCTAACCCGAATTATGTCTCAGGTTTGATACGAATAAATACGAAAAGCCGGTTCATGCAAAAACATGAGGACAAGAAACAGGTCGAGAGTCAAATGTATTCAACAAATCAACATTTTAATGATATTCAGAGCAACACTTCTGTACAGATAAATATTCATGACACATTTTTCATGGACGATTCATCACCTCCCGAGCACCTCCTGTGTGTTTTGAACATCTGAGAGGAACAATTTGAGACTTTATTCACTTTAATAAGAATATAATAATTAAACCATGAGAACTGCCATAACTTTGAAAAATCACACACACCAGGGGGAAACTTTCAAAATAACACACCTCTCGTTTGTTCCCCATGAAGTTCAGCATTCCTATTTTCTGAGCATTTTTCATCTTAGATAACTCGGGACATTCCCTGCATGCCTTCGCTCCTCTCCTTGGCTTTTTCCATTCCCTCCGCAGCCTCAGAACGCTTTGAAAATCGCATGTTTTGTTGAGGTTATTTTAAGACACAAGTTCAGTCCTTAATATGTTTCAGGGTCAGATATTTGAAGTCTGTCAGAAACTGTGGGAAGAAGGAGAGATCTGAGCCTCGGGATTATTTATGGCATGAGGTTGTAATGAGCAAGATGCATTCTTGTGGCATGAAAACCAATCAAAATATCTACAGACGATGGGAGTTTTATTTTGCAAAAGAAAATTGCAACAGTTTGGCATGTTTATGGCGTGCAGCAGACGAGCTGTGTGTCTGGAGCCAGCAGCGTGCAGCTCGGGCACGTTTAGGGTGCGAGCCAGAGAAGGGGGTGAACAGAGAGATTTGGATGGCAAAGTATGAAATGTTGCTTTTGATGATTTCGTAAAGGTCAGAAAGAGAAACACTATACATGCAGGTGCAGGCCTCTGGGAGAGCTGACAGATGATCTCTCACTTGGCTGCTGGAAGTTTGGAAATCATAAATTAAATCCCCAAAAATCCTGCAGGGTGAGGTCAGAAAACTGCACGTGGACGCTGTTTGTACTTTATACCAAACAGGGAGAACAGACTAAGGTCACTCGTGTTTAGCTTACGCACATTTTACTGTCAGTGATTGAGCTCAAGAGCTGGAGCTCGAGGACTAACCGAGTGTTTCTGCATCTTCTACTCGAGTTACGGCATCACTACAGAGAGCAGAAGCACATTTGTTTTCATCTGACTTTAATTTGCTCTTTAAATTAGTTCCTCTCGTCTGCACGTGATCGTGCACGTGTTCTGCGCGTTGTTCACTCTCTCCTCTGTTTGTCGGTTTGAATGCATCCACATTTTAATAAAGAAGACGGCCAGTTTCCAGTTACAGAAAAAGTCTCCTGAAAGTAAAGCAGCTCGAGTTAAGACTGTTAATGAGGAATAAAAGACGAGGAATCTTCTTCAATTCTTAAATCAAGGAATAAACTTTGTGATGTATGTCTTGGTCAGGGCATTGACCGATGTAAACACAGTTATTTGTTTGTGGATCATTCATTTGAAGCCTGCTTTTTTGCATTGTGTTTCTGTGCAGTGGTTAGTGTTGTTGCCTCACAGTGAGGAGGTTCCTGGTTTGAATCCCCATTGGACAGGAGCCTCTCTGTGTGGAGTTTGCATGTTCTCCCTGTGCATGTGTGGGTTCTCTCCGGGTACTCCAGCTTCCTCCCAGAATCCAAAGAAATGCTCGTTAGGTTAACTGGTGACTCTACATTGCCCGTAGGTGTGAATGTGAGTGTGGCTGGTTGTCTGTCTCTATATGTCAGCGCTGTGATTGGCTGGTAAACAGTTCAGGGTGTTACCCCGGTGTTACCCCGCCTCTCAACCAATGACAGCTGGGATCGGCTCCAGCCCCTCAGGATCCTGAACGGGAAAAGCGGTAAAAGATAATGGATATATGTATTTCTTCTTTTGTTTTTAAAAAGCTGCATGACTATGTTGGGATGAGAGGCTGGAGCACGAGGGGTTAACAGCGAACACTAGAGCTCGCTTGGTAACTATGATATTAATTGGGACACTACATTTAGCAAGAGAGACTCAACTTCAAGGAGAGAAATGTGCTGGCCCCATTTCGCGGCGTTCTGATTTCAGAGAGTTAAAATAAAGTTTGTGTTCGACCCGGTTTGACCCCTGCAGATAAAAGTTATGCAACTTCCAAAACAGCTTAGAAAAGAGCAAATAAAGCAAACCTGGAGCACTTTGAGGAATTCATAAACATTTCCTCTAAAAACACTGTGACCTCAGCGTGCTCTCTAGAAGCAGTTTTAGTGGAGAAGCAAACACAGAGCTATGAATAGGCACCGAGGATCGCAGCTTCAGTGTCTGCATCAAACAAAAAGGCTGTGAACAAGAAGCAGCATCTGGAGTTTGTCACTCTGGCTCTGGGTGCTGCTGTGACAACAAAACCGATTGGTATTTCTCTGCAAGTTACTTTCTTAATAAATCAAGTTATTTAGGAAATGTGCACCCACTTTACATTTCACTGTAACTCGCCGTTTACGGTACAGAGACGTGTTTAGGTTTGAATACAGACACTTTCTGTTGCCAGGAAAAAGATGCCATTTGTCTCCGTCCTCCCTGAGCGCCGACTTTATTTAAATAAAAACTCGACTGTAATCGTGTCTAATATTAGAAGCACAAACTCTTCGTCTCTTGTGGTGCCAATGATGCTTCTATTTATGTGAACGGCAAACATTAAACCTTATTTAAGACTTCAACATCTGCAGTTAATGCTTCTTATTACACAACAATAACCCTCAGACAGAGCACTCATCATGTTTACTGAAAAGAGGCAACAATATTTAAAAAAAAGGACACCAACGCTTGGATTTCTATTTGAGGATGACTTCCTGTCAGCAGGTTAAGTAACATGTCAAACTTTTTGTTTTAATGAAGCATTCATAGGAATTTATTTTTCTATAAGTAACACTAACAGACAGTATGAAATATGGACGTCCTGACAGCTCCCCAATAATAAATAATAAAATAAAGAGAACAACATGCCAACAAAATGTTAGTTTGTCTTTCCCCGTATGATCTTTTGTTCAGGCAGTGCCTGTTTTGAATGTTGATGGAACATGGAAATGGAAAATACGATCGGGAGTCCGTATATTGGGTTTTATTTTTAAATTGACGAGGCTTCCTGTCTGGGTCGTTCTATTCTGTACAGCTTGACGCGTGCCTGCAGTGTGCTCCTTTGACAATAGAACCGCAGCGTATTTGAAACAGAGCAGAGTGTAGTAATTTATTTTTTTCAATCATCAAAAATTGCCAGTAAACTCCTGCAATATTTTGCAGGAGTTTACCTGCAATTTCTGATTGATTCACCCCTAGTCTACGCACCTGTCATACGTAACAGATCATCATTCATGAGAAATAACACAGATCTTTTTAAAACACATGGTATTGAATAGTACCACACATTTTGACAACCTTACGGTATGATGCATCTTTTTCTTTTATATCTCCAAACTTATCACAATCGACCTGGGTGTCACAGAGCAGAGGAATCCACAACAATGAGGTTGTTTACATGGACTTTAGTGTACCAGTTTTAAGCCTCATCCCAGTTTTGATCATATTCAGGATTTGGCGTGAACATGCACAACACAAAAACAGGATACTTAACAAACCCGATCAAAACCAGGACACTCAAGTCCATGTGAATGTACTCAATGGCCGTACAAAACTGTGGAACAAGAGTAACCGAAACATTTGCTCATTGCATGAACACGTCTGTAATATTAAGACCTTTTATTATTTATTTAACTGTAAAAAGATAAAGTAGCTAAATCCCTGCTAAAGACAACTTAACATAAACATTTAAATAAGCATTTAAGAACAGGCCTGCCCATTGCATGATCCAAACCTTTGTCTAAACCTTGCCATTTTCACCATCTTGATCTTCAATGTTACTGTCACTGTTCACAATGTGAGGACGATTTAGGAAAACTGTGACACGCAGCTAGCAGAAGAGAAGGTGAACTATGTTAGAAATGCACAGCTGATGTCATGTTTATAAGCAGCGTCTCCATCCTGTGAGTCAGACCGCGGCCCGTGTTGTATTTACAGCGACAGATCTCGCTGCCGTTTGTTGTGACTGTTTCTATTTCTAACATCTGCACACTTGAAAAACTCTTGAGCCGCTGTGATAACATAACGTGTTCCCGAGCCGTTACATCATCACCTGCTGCAGAAAGTGCTCATTAGAAAAGGAGGTTTTAAGACTTTTGATCAGATGTTGATGCCTAGTTTTAAACGTTGTTTCTTTTGTTTGATGCAACAAAATTAAAAACATTCAGTCAAAATGGAAACTGAGAAACGTTTCACCTCTAAAAAAAAAAATGACGACAAATCGTCTGGAAAACTGCCTGAACCACTTCGCGTGTTTGCACTTTTTTAACTTTGCAAATACGACGGTGGTCTTGTGAGTCTAAAGACTATGAATGGGTTAATTTAGTGTGAATGCAGCATCAGAGAGACCTCTAAGAACATCTGTGTGTGTGTGTGTGTGTACTGTTATATTTTAACAACGGCACCTCTTCTGGGCTACTCTCAGCAGCTCTGTGAGTCTCCAGTGTGTCTTTAACCGTCCATCCTCCTGCAGAGCCGACGGGTCACTGATAGCAGAGGTAGCTGATGAGGAGTTTGGGGATCTCCAGTTGATGCACGACCTTCAGAGCTCGGGTGCCCAGCCTGCTCCTCACCGCCACCCGGCTGAGCTGCTGCAGACTCATCGGAGTGGCTACAGAGCGGGACAAAAAAAAAAAAGTGTCAGATGAAATAGTTTACAATATATTCTGCAGAAAAAATAAATCAAGAAGATTGCTGGTGGCACGGTGGTTGGTGCGCTATTGGTGCTCTATGTGTTGAGGCTGTGGTCTTCCGGGCAGGCGGCCCAAGTTCCCCTTTCTCTCTCCCTGATTTCCGACTCTATCCACTGTCCTATCTCTCCATTAAAAGGCACAAAAATCAATCTTTTAAAAAAAAAAAGAAGATTGTCAATGCTCCCCGATTGGATGTGCGAGTGAGTAGAGTCACTTAAAAGCTTGTAAATAGCTTAACTTTAAGCTATATAAAGCTCTGTTCCCTGTAAACCGTCATCTTCTCATATTCATCCAACAAGCATGTGAAGAAATCAGCCCCAAAGTAAACAACAGGTGTCATCTGTCTGAGGTGAAACGTGATCCTTGCTCGCCCTCTAGTGTTTCAGAGCTGACACTACGCTCATGTGCAGGGTTAGAAATGAGTGTTTGTTTTCCCTGCAGCTGTGGCTTTCCTGATCGACTTACTCTCATATAGCTTTAGGCAGGCTGCAGAGGGCGACCCCGGCGTGGTGTAATCCAAGGGTTTCTTGTCGGTCTGATCCCTGGCGTAGATGTTGGCGCCGAACTCCACCAGCATCTCGATCATCTCCACCCGCATGTTTTTGGCAGCATGGTGCAGCGGGGTCTTGTGCAGCCGGGTAGCATTCACTTTAGCACCTGAAACAAACAGGAAGTGCTGTCAAATACTCAGCGTCTTTAAAAAAGGAACAACATGGTAGCCTCTTACTTCGAGTTTCTCCGCCCAGTGGTCTCTACCAAAGAAATAATCAGCTCCTAAGTTTATGATTTAATCATACAAAAAGAGCTATCCAGTGTAGTTTTCAATTGTTAGTGGCAAAGGTGACACGTTTTGTTTTCTTTGAGGCACTACCTGACCTCCACACTCAACCTCTGATCCTCTGATCCGCTGAACCTGGCGGCTGACAACAGAACAAGTCAAGCTCCTCCCCCTTCTTCCTCAATCTGAAGCCAGGGTAAGAAGCATGGCTTCAGCGGTCATGTTTACTTTTCTTTGAGTATTTGTTTAAAATTGTTTGGCAATAAAGATTATTTTGCTGATGGAACGTTTTTGACTCCTTCATGTCACGCCCCCTGAGCCAGGGTCGGAACAAACTCATCAGCAAGCGGAAGGTGTGCATTTGTTCGGGACTATTTGCAGCAGCGGATTAATCCACAATAGTTTCTCCAGTCAGGATGTGTGGCAGCAGGACGGTTTAGGCTGGACTGAGTCCAAAGATATCAGGCTGTGAATCACAAAAAAAACACACAAATTCCAAAGCAAATATGAAGGAGTGAAAAAAGAAACATGTGAATTTGGTTGGTTTTGGTATTTTTGGAGCATGATTGTTTTTAAGGAAGAGATTAGAAAGACGTCCATGCTTGTGTTATTATTCTGATGATTAGTTTATCATTATCTGATGCCAGAAAACTAATTCAAGTTTTGTTAAAAAGTGGGCTTGTGAGAGGCAGAAAATGAAGCTGCAATGTTGGATGACGATTCCTAGAGTGTAAACAGTTTGTAATTAATAGGCCACAACATGCTAATCTGAAGGTATTGCCACATGTATATATTTGTTGTGTGGTTGTTGTCAGGTTCAGCTGAGGCTGCAGGAGGTCGTGTTACAGCTCAGCTCGCCTGTCCTGAAGTCACACCGGCATGAGCATCAAAATACCCCCACACTCACAATCCATCTCTGTGACCTCCGAGGAACAAGAGTCCCATCCTGCTTTGCCCACCTGCATTGAGCAGCACTTTGACACAGTCTGTGTGTCCGTAAGCACAAGCGACGTGCAGCGGGGTCCCGTAGTAAAGGTTGTACGCCTCCAGGCTAGCACCCACGGTTATCAGGAGCTTCACGCAGTCCGAGTTTCCTGAAAAGATTCAGAGAAAACGTCATCCTGTGAATGTACAGAGTTAAACAGTTGGTTAGCTCAATTTAAAGAAAAGGTGCTAACCTCCTAAGCAGGACTCGTGGAGCGGCGAGGCCGTGCGGGAGGTGAGAATAGAATTGGCCTTGGCGCCGCGATCCAGTAGCAGTCTCACACACTCCAAACTACCAGCCGAACTGGCTTCACACAGCGGAGTGCACCCGTCCACGTTCCTCGCATCCACCTAAAAAGGGACACACCCCAGAGCACAGAATCATACATCACAACTTTTTCTTCTGCCTTTACCTGTCGTTTGAGCGCTCATCTGTTCAGTGCCGCTGTTTGACCTGAGCTCCAGCATCCAGCAGCAGTCGGGCGCACTGGGTCTGACCCTGGAGGCAGGCCTCGTGCAGCGGCGTGATGGAGTCCACAGCCACCATGTTGACCGACGCCCCGCTCTCTATGAGGTGCTGCAGCTGGGACGCCTGACCGAGGGACGCCGCCTTGTGCACCTCCGTTCTCTCTGACCAGCAGCCTGCATGGGGGGGGGGGGGGGGGGCGGATCATTACACACACGATGGTCATGTAGAGACGATTCATGAATCAATATTATCACATATTTATGTATATACTGATGATTTTATAAAGCTGTAATGTAGAATATGTGGATACATAACTATTTTTTTGTTTATACGCTCTCAACGAGGGTCGTTACAATACCAGAATTTTAAACTTCAATACGATACATTTAAAAATACAACAATATTGAAGTTGAAAAATAGAAGTCCTAGGTATCCAATATTGCTTAACTTCTTGTTTTCAGTGATGAAAGATTGCAGGCAGACTCCTGCACAGTGTCTGAAGTGCACAAAAACATCGGCAAATTGAAGGTACCTAAACGTTGACACAGTTTTAGTGTGCAGTTTAGACAGTGTGCCTGCAATGTTTGATGTATTCTCTCTTCTTCTGCGCTCCTTTCTAATCAAACAGATGTAGTTTATTTTAGTTTCTGTACTTTTTGATACAATTGGTCATTAAAATAACAGAGATTGTATTGGAAACACTTGGTATCAAAAAGTATTGAAATACCGGACAAAGTAAGTCTCTCCTTTCTATTCGTGAATGTCTCCTAAAAGGCTTCCTTGTCAGACAAATATGTGTGAGAGCAGCATGTTTAATGGAAACCCATACACCACAAATGTTACACAACGTATTTTGAACTCACATTCAAAGAAAAAGGATGATAACATTAATAATAGGAAATGTAAATACGTAATAAATTACATTGAATACAGCTGTTGACAACAACCCAGCCTTAATAACACATTTTATCGTGTTAGCTTACATTCCTGCCATACCGAACCGACGTCAAATTAGGTCAAAATCCGAACAAAGCGTCGGTTTCACCGGACACGTCGTCTTTTTTCACACTCACCGATGTCTCCGAAGAAATACTGCTGCGAGTTTTCAATCTCCGTCATTTTCCGGCTTTTATTTTTAATCTCCCGGCGGGACTACCAACGTGAACGCAGGAACAGAAACATGTGATGTATGTAAACAGCGGCGTCTCGCTCGTGTTTTCATGGGGAAGGTGTTACGTCACGGCACGTCACAGACCAGGAACTCTTAGCGCGCATGATGGGGTTTGTAGTTTTTACACCTAAATAGGTTATTTCATCATCAGAAAAGACCGTAACAATTGTTTATTCTACGTCAGGATGATTATCATGAAAATATGTAATAGTAATGATAATGAATGTGTGTGTTTAGCTATGTACTAATATGACTATGATTACTTGAATATAATAAAGTCTGGTTAAATTATTCATCCATAGAGGGCAATTCTATTTTATTGTATACTTTATTTTCAAACTGGCTTTATGTCTTTCCACAAGGGAAGGTGTTTATATAGAATATTTCTCTTATTATTATTATTATTATTTTTAATTTCAGCTTGTATTTAAAAACTGTAAATGTTTTTGTCTTTCTATATTTTGTTAGCTGATTACCCTGAAGATTCCGTAACAACCTAATTTCCCTCAATGGGGGATCAATTAAGTTTATCTTATCTATCTTATCTTGTTATAGCGAGACGGGTCGCCAGCATAGACTGTAAATATTAGGTCAGTAAGGAGCTGGAGCTAACATAACTACCGATAAAACAAATGTCGCCGTCAGGTTATTTATAACATAATAGGGATGAATTGCGCTGACCTGCAGGGAGTGCTCTGGTGCGCTCCCTGCATGTCCACAGGTTCTGTTTGTTCATGTGTGTGATTCAGGCCTACGTGTGTGAGAAGAACGTGTCTAAAATCACCAGAATTTTCCTCAGGGATTAATAAAGTATTTCAAAATCAGAAAATCCCCCCAAAAATTCTAATTAATTATTAAGTAAAAAGTAATTTAAATGAAAAATATGCTATACTGCTCAAAGGATATAATGTATATAACATTCAAACACTAACAAAGCAGAAGTAGAAATGTGGCAAGTCTATAAGCTTTACTTTGACTGTTTCAGTGAGTGTACTTAATAAGCAGTAAATTAATGGTGTCCCATCATGTTTAAAAAGGTAAAGATAAAATGTGTAAGGATTGTAATTGCATACAGTTGCTGGTTTGCGAAGGCAATACTCCACACTATCCACCGCAAGGCAGGGCCACAAAAAAATCCTGCTTAGAGCCCCCAGATGTCCAGAGGCCGGCCCTGACCACCATCCATCCACACTGACAAAAGTACTGGAAACTTGCCAGTTGATGGTTGGCCAGCAGACCAAGATGCCAACCTCTCACAAGTCCTTTGATCATGTAGCTTTCACAGCCCCTCAGCATTCAGGTTTGTTGGTCCAATATTGAAACAGATATAAAGAGTCCCAATCACCATGAGCCAACCATCAAGTGTAAACACACACTTGTTTCTTAGAATAGATTCCTATACTAAATTTGACCTCGTAAGCTAGGACAAGCAGAGGTAATGAGATAAAGATAAAGATAAAGATAAACTTTATTGATCCCCCGTGGGGGAAATTTGTGCATTACAGCAGCTCCAGAAAAACAGGGGACGGGAATATACTTAGAAGTTAAAAACAGATCAAACATATTTACATCATTTAAATTAAAGAAAATACAAGAATGTAAAAAAATTACAAGAATGTAAAAAATCATTTAAATAAAAATAATAGAAATAAAAAAAAAAACAAATAATAATAACATGTAAAAAAACAATAATAGAAAATTACACAGTAACCACAGTTCTTAAAAAAACACACACAGTGTGTAGCATGAGCATGTAACATGTACGCTCCCCTTAGACACACACCCCACGATGGCTGTGTCATCGGAGAACTTCTGCAGGTGGCAGCTCCCAGAGTTGTAACAGAAGTCCGAGGTGTACAGGGTGAAGAGAATAGGGGAGAGAACTGTCCCCTGCGGGGCCCCTGTACTGCAGACCACCATGTCAGACTCACAGTCCTGAAGCCTCATGTACTGTGGTCTGTTGGTGAGGTAGTCCGTTGTCCATGCAGCCAGGTGACAGTCCACTCCCACCCCCCTGAGCAGTGCAGGCTGGATGATGTTAAAGGCACTGGAGAAGTCAAAGAACATGACCCTTACAGTGCTGCCGGTAGATGACGACGTCATCCACCCCGATGTTCGGCTGGTAGGCGAACTGCAGAGGATCCAGATTTGAAGTCACCAGGGAGCGGAGGTTGTTGAGGACGATCCTCTCCATGGTCTTCATCAGGTGAGAGGTGAGGGCCACAGGTCTGAAGTGGTTAGGCTCCCTGGGGTGAGATGTCTTTGGGACTGGCACCATGCAGGAAGTCTTCCACAGAGTCAGGACCCTCTCCAGTCTCAGGCTCAGGTTGAAGATGTGCAGAAGAACCTCACAGAGCTGGTCTGCACAGTCCTTCAGGAGTGTGGAGCTGATGCCCTCGAAACCTGTGGCCTTCCTCGCCTTGATCATCCTCAGCTGACTTCTCACCTAATCAGCTGCTATGGAGAGGCCGTCGGAGGAGGAGGAAGAGGAGGAGGAAGGGGTTGTTGGGGGGGCGTCTGTGGAGGAGGAGGAGAGGGCTGTTGAGGGGTGTGGCAGGGTACTCAGGGTACTCAGATGGAGTGTCTGAGAAGTGGGCTGGTCTGCGCTCTGGTGGGTGGAGGTGGGGTTGGGAGCAGAATCAAATCTATTGAAGAACAGATTCAGTTCATTTACCCACTCCCTGTCTCCTGCTTCAGGGCCCCTCCCACACCTTCTGCTGTGACCTGAGATGTTATTCAGGCCCCTCCAGACTTCTCTTGCATTTTTATGTTGTAAATGCTCCTCCATCTTTGCTCGGTAGCTGGCTTTCCCCTTCTTGATTTTTTTCTTGAGCTCCTTCTGCACCCTCCTCAGCTCCTCTCTATCTCCAGCTCTAAAAACTCTTCTCTTTTCATTGAGCAGGGTTTTCAACTCAGGGGTAACCCAGGGTTTGTTGTTGGAGAAACATTGTATTTTTTTGGTGGGTACAGTGTTCTTAACACAGAAGTTTATGTAATCTGTGATGCAGTGGGTTAAACGGTCAATGTCCTCCCCCATGTGGGCTGCACAGCACCTCCCAGTCAGTGGTGTCGAAGCAGTCCTGCAGCGCCTCAGTGGCCTCCATAGACCACTTCTTCACATACCTGGTTGTGGGGGGTTGTTTTTTCACCATAGGTATGTAAATGGACTTGGTTTGTAAATAAAACCAAGGACTTTCAACTAGGAGGTGGCCATCAAGTCCTATGTGAGTCCAACTGTCATTGGTTAGGCTTACATCATTTTTCTTACCAAACCATGATCTTTTCCTTAGCTAACACAGAAGTTTTGTTCATTGGTCTCATTTATTTCTAAGCGTGAGAGCCTGTTGGCACCAGGCACTTAAGAGCAATTTTCCAGCAATGAGCGTTGGCAAATTCAAGAGAAACCTCCAACTTGAAGAACATGTCTTTACCTTAAGACCTATATGTAATGCTGACGATTTGAGTTATGTAGCAAATGTTACAAATGCTACAAGTTTTTAAGAAATACTAAAATTGTGCACTCACAAAGCTCTCATACTGTAACTCTCCAAATCCTCTGCTATAATCCATCCTTTCATCTTGTGATGTCATACTTCAGAATGTTGGTTATTTCTTTGATGTTGTCAAGTAACGGCCTGCTATTCTGTTTGACTATGATACTGATAGAATAAACAGGAGAATTAATCCATAGTATTGTAGTTTAGGTGTTTGTTTAATCAAAGTAATACATCGACCTGCCTTCAATTCAATTCAATTCAATTCAATTCAAAAAACTTTTTTTGTCCCCTGGGGGCAATTCAAAGGCACACAGAGCAGTAAATTACCAACAGTGCTTAACCTAAATATAAAGTGTCAATTTAAATACAACTTAAAGCTTAAACTTAACTTAAAAATACAAAATATAAAAGAGTAGATATAAGTGGACACCTCAGTCGCCTCAGCAGTGCAGCCGACATTGGCCCTTCTTGTACAGGACGTCGGTGTTGTGTGACCAGTCCAGTTTATTGTTGAGGTGAACACCCAGGTATTTGTACATCTCCACCCTCTCGATGGCCAAGCCCTGGATGTTCACCGGTGCAGTCTGGGGTGACTTCCTGCGGAAGTCAATCACCATCTCCTTTGTCTTGCTGGCGTTGAGCTGAAGGTGGTTGAGCTCACTCCAGTCGACAAAGTCCATGATGACCTGCCTGTACTCCTGTTCGCTCCCCTTAGACACACACCCCCACGATGGCTGTGTCATCGGAGAACTTCTGCAGGTGGCAGCTCCCAGAGTTGTAACAGAAGTCCGAGGTGTACAGGGTGAAGAGAAAAGGGAGAGAACTGTCCCCTGCGGGGCCCTGTACTGCAGACCACCATGTCAGACTCACAGTCCTGAAGCCTCATGTACTGTGGTCTGTTGGTGAGGTAGTCCGTTGTCCATGCAGCCAGGTGACAGTCCACTCCCGTCCCCTCTAGCTTCCCCCTGAGCAGTGCAGGCTGGATGATGTTAAAGGCACTGGAGAAGTCAAAGAACATGACCCTCACAGTGCTGCCGGTGTTCTCCAGGTGAGTCCAGGATCTCTGCAGCAGGTAGATGACGGCGTCATCCACCCCGATGTTTGGCTGGTAGGCGAACTGCAGAGGATCCAGATTTGAAGTCACCAGGGAGCGGAGGTTGTTGAGGACGATCCTCTCCATGGTCTTCATCGGGTGAGAGGTGAGGGCCACAGGTCTGAAGTGGTTAGGCTCCCTGGGGTGAGATGTCTTTGGGACTGGCACCATGCAGGAAGTCTTCCACAGAGTCAGGACCCTCTCCAGTCTCAGGCTCAGGTTGAAGATGTGAAGAAGAACCTCACAGAGCTGGTCTGCACAGTCCTTCAGGAGTGTGGAGCTGATGCCGTCGGAACCTGTGGCCTTCCTCGCCTTGATCAACCTCAGCTGACTTCTCACCTGATCAGCTGCTATGGAGAGGCCGTCGGAGGAGGAGGAAGAGTAGGAGGAAGGGGTTGTTGGGGGGGCGTCTGTGGAGGAGGAGGAGAGGGCTGTTGAGGGGG